ATAAAAAAATAAAAATTATAATCAATACAAGCATATGTTTGGTTAAAGTAGAATATTTAAGGTAGAAAAGGGTACAAATTACATATACAGAGTAAACAGAGGGGCAATCTCCTGTGTGAATAACTGCCTCTGAAAACCCACTGAAGAGTCAGCTATAGTTTGGTCCTGACTCAAAGGCACCCAAGAACAACAACATACATGATTTAGTATTAGAGAACAGAGATTACCGATATAGAAAGCAAGAAGCTAAGGTTCATGGACAGACATCAGAAGTACTATGTGTTTCCAAAACTATATGCACAAGTTAATTAATGTCCAGTTTATAGGAAGAGGAACACCAGCTTTCATAATTACAAATAATTTATGACCCCAAAAAATTAATTCACTATAAATCATTTTGAAAAATAAATCTAATGGGTTAACGTTCAAGATGGAGGAGAAATGAGAGCAGTAATAAGTTAGAAAACTGTTCAAAGGAACTAATGAAGAGAAATATTTCAAATACACACTATGTTTCTTCTCTACTGACAAAATAGAATATGAATAATTGTATGAAACACAATATAAATGAAAGATTGTATAAAACACGATGTATATGAACGAAACATAATGTAAAGGAATTATTATATAAAAAAACAATAAAAAAATACAGGAAATAAACTCACTGTCTTCGTGTTTTGGGAAGAAATCCTACCATTTCCATGGCCAGCTGTAAACGCTCAAAGTCATGCCTCAAGTCTTCCCCTTCAACTGTGAAGCAATCCTGCTTTTGTAAGATTAAAATAAATAAATACATTTTTAGATAAATTCACCAATTTAAAAATGTAAATTAGAGCTGGTGGACTATTTATATATAATAATCAAAGTCAAGAAAGCTTTTATCAAGGATGGTAAATAAATAAATACATACCTACCAAAATACCAGAAGTATTTAGTGCCATATCCCTTTCACAGTCACCGAAGCAAAAGTCTCAAGTGTAACTTATGAGAAAGGATAAGCAATTTTTCAAAAATATTGTAATACTTTAAATGACCAAGTTTGACTGTGAGTGGTTCTTTAGCATTTTAAAGAGTATTTAAGGGCTCAATTCCACACAAAAACATTGCTTAATCTTACAAATACTTACTACCTTTTAAGTAGTTACCATCAGCAAGATAGGGAGCTAGATGATGGAGAGACAATTTTTAGAACAGAAAGAAACTGAGTTTGGGCCTAGATTTATGTAATATAAAAAAAATTCTGTTACATCTCTATTACAGATAATATAAAAGGTTACGTAAAATAGGATAACAGCCAGTAAAAGAAAGATATACATGTGGAAATACAAAAAAAAAAAACCTCAAAATTTTTACTTCATGAATCTGTAAAAATAGTGGTATGAAGTAAGTACTGCTCCATTCTTAGAGTTGCTGCTGACTGCTGTTGAGTCAAGCACAACTCATAGCAATCCTATGAACAAAAGGCCTGAAAAGTCTTTCTGTAACTATCGTCAAAGTTTGTAGAGTTCCAAGAGGCATGTTGTTTAGGAAGTGGATGCCACTCCTACTTCTTAAGAGTAGTCCTTGCAATTCTCTTTTTGTACAAACCAAACATTATTACTGTGAACATAATCTAAAGATCTACAAAGTATTTGCTATCTCTTTATTACAGGTTGAGGAAGAAAAATTTTTCTCATTTAAATTTACTGTTTTAATACCTACTTCCTAACAAGACTTCATGAAGAGGGGAAGCTGGACTTTGTGAAGAGAAATGTGGATTCAGAATCTGAGGAAAACTCATCAACAACTTGTATATGCAAATGACACAACCTTGCTTGCCACAAATATGGAGAACTTAAAATGCTTGCTGCAGAAGATCAAAGACTACAGTTTTCAAAATGGATTACATCTCAAGATCAAAAAGACAAAAATCCTCATTACTGGGCCAAGAGGCAGCATCATGATAGATGCTAAAAAGACTAAAATTATCAATAATTTTATTTACTTGGACCCACTGTAAACATCCTTAGTACTAAAAGTAAAGAAATCAAAAGGCATGTTGCACTGGGAAAGTTCACAGTCAGGGACTTCTCCAAAATATGAAGGTGCAATGCTGTCAGTTTAAAAACTAAGATATCTGTGATGTAAGCCATGGTCTTTTCAATCACTTGCTACGCATCTGAGAGCTGGGCAATGAATAAGGATAACAGAAGAACTGATGCCTTTGAGTTGTGGTGCTGGAGAAGATAATGAATATCCCTAGGACTGCCCCAAAAATGTCTTGGAGAAAGTATAGCCAACATGCTTCTTTTAACTAGAGAGGCGAGAATGACGAAAAAGAGGCAAGAATAATGAAACTTCATACATACTTTGGGCTTATAGTTAAACAGAGGTTTTTCTATAAGAAGGGACATCATGATGGAAAGGTAGAAGATTGGCAAAAGAGAGAAAGATCTTAAGCAAGACAGACTAATACATGACTGCAGCTATGGGATCCAGTATGTCAGAGATGATGAGGATGGCAAAACATAGGACATGGTTCAGATCAGTTGTTCACAGGGTCACTAGGAGTCATACTTGACTCACTGGCACCTAACACCACCCCAACTTCCTAAGCAATGTTTCATGAAGTACTCAATAACTTATTCATTAATGATTTTCAGCATTAACACAGCATTAACACAGCTCTACGAGTATTATCAATTATTCATAAAATTAAAAAACCCTAGCATTTTAATAGTGATCTGATGAATATATTAAATACGAAATTCAACATAAGCTTTGAAATTATTAAAAAAATATCTTCTAAGGAAGGTATAATTATAAAGTTCTTGGCTGCTAAGGAAAAGGACAGTGCATGGTGGCCTAGTGGCAAGAAGCTGCACTGCAATCCCAGAGGCCCATGGTTCGAATCCACCAGATGCTCTGCCGGGAAAGGAGGGACAATCTCCTCCTGTACCAGTCAGATCTGATTTGACAGTACACAGACACACAAAAATAACAATAAAATAAAATTTTAAAAAAAAAAAGAAAGAAAAGGACAGTGCAAGGAAAAAGATGTGGCAGTTTGTTTCTATAAATCCTATAGCACTGGAAACCCTGCAGGGCAGCTCAATCCCTATCCTAACGGACCCTTATCAATCACCATCAACTCTATGACAAAAGTGTGGAGTTTTAAATATGCAAAAGTACTTAAAATAAAAACTATCATATTAGCACTTAAGAAAATGCTTGCAAGGAAAAGGGAATAGTTGGCAAATAAGCACAGATGGCACATGTCATTTACGTAAAAATATGACATTTCCGAATCAAATTCTAGTTACTTTTGACATCTCTGAATAATAATAGATGAACACCCATATTCACGGTAAATTCTGTACTAGCAATCTAATTTACTCGCCATTTCCCACTCTTTTAACTATTTCCCAATGAGATACAGCCACTTGGTATAATAAGTGAAAAGATTAAAAGGGAAAATGTCTGAAAAGGAATAAAACCAACCAAGTTAAATTTTCTCCACTAAAATCTATCAGAATCTAAAAATAAAAATGAATATTTGCTTGATATAATGCTAAGTCTGAAATTATAAGTTTCTTGATTTAATATGATATTCTAATAATATCAAACATTCACTGTAAAGAAAAAAATTAAGTTATACTCACAACTGATTTTTTTGTTAAAAAAAAAAAATCACTGTCATGGAGTCAGAACCGACCCACAGCTGACCCTTAAGCTGTAAACTGCATAGAAAGAGACTGTCCATTGTTCTCACCATGAATGGCTGGTTGCTAGATTGGCAGGCTGGTTGTGAACTGCCAGAGGCGCATGACCTTTCGGCTAGCAATTAAATATTTACTCATAGCTGACTTTTTTCCTGTTGTTGTTACCACTTGTTAATTTAAAAAAGGGGCAATTAGTGAATTTTGTATTCACATGCAGTAAGAACTGTAACCATGTTTATTTACAATAAAGAATGAAGACTCAGACATGTTATGTATCCTGGAAGAATACATAATTAGTTCACTTTTAATTAATAGACAGTTATAGATAAATGTGTTAGTGTGTTATTTTAAGGTTTTCATAGCTTATCTAATTCCAAACTAAAAGAGGGGAAAATCACCAACTATTCATAAAGATCTTTATTATGGCTAAAGATTTTTAATATGGACTAAAATTAGAAAATAAAAAAAGTGCAAAACAACAGGCTGGTTTTGAATCAACAAACCACGCACACAGAAATCATGCCATTCAAGGAAATTAAAAATGTACTGATTTTTCCTCCCTCAATTCTACTTTACTGTATTTACAAATCTGTATTTGTATTTGCCTAAGTAATGAGATGGGTGTAGTAAAATGTGCAAAATGAGGATCCTTTAACAGGAACACAGAATATTAGGCACTTGTACTGACCGGCTCAGAGTCATAGCAATAATCATCCCAGCTCTGTCTGAGGGGTTTCTTTGTTATCTGAAAGTAAGGCAGATTAGTTAGGTAGAAGTAATGGTTATCACAACTTCTCTAATCTTCTTTAATAAACAGTGTGCAGAGTACCCTGCTGCTATCCAAAGAAAAGTTGTTTTGCATAGCAGCATAAAACAACAAACAACTAAGTATAAATATTCAGACTGTGAGAGCAAGTATACTATTTACTTCACCCATATCTGCTACTGTTCAATGACTCTGGTATTAACTACTGAGTCTCTATGAAACTCGTATTATGACAAGAATATATATGGTACAGCCACTTAACTACAAAAAGACCTAGAATAACGAACCCTGGACTCACTTAATACAACAATCAGTGCTATACCACCTAGAAGAATGCTATACCACCAAGAAGTTGTTTGACAAAAAACAACTAAAACCAGGCCTGAGGAACGCAGATTAAAATCACCCACCTTTGGCTTGGTTTTTGGGTGGTTAGAGCCAATGAGAATGCTTGATTATGGATGAATGTGGAATGATGGAGGCTCATGAAGTTAGAACCATGCTTTGGTTCTTAAATTTGGTTGGGCCCGAGGGCCCAAATTGCTTTTTGTCAAACATTCTTTTAGGTAGTATAGCACTGGTCTGTCCATTTGCTGTACAGAGATTAACTCGTGGATGCTGAACACTGTGATCCTGATGTGTCAAATGTGGTAATGATCAAACATGGTGGACAGTGTTTGGTGGAGCTCCCTGATTAAAACAAGCTTAGAAGCAGGAGAGGCATCCACTTCCAAAATAGCTTGCCTGTGGAAACCCTATGAACTTGGAGTAATGATGAAAGTTACACAAGTATTCAGGTCTTTCATTCATAAGGTCACTATGAGTTGTCTATGATTTGATAGCACTTAACAACAACAAAAACAACATATATATAGAAAAGTGTTATTAATTTATATTAATAATGAATAAGTCATTTCAAGATGTCAAGTAAACATTAAACAATCTATCTTGGGGAAGTCTAAAACTTTACTTTCACAGCCCTAGATACCCTAGATAAATGTTAAAATTTTTAAAACATGATCACAATTTCAATTTGTTCATAAAGCATTCATAAAAATGCTCCCCATGATCACTATAGCTTGCCTCAAATCATCAGAAAATAAAGGTATAGACAAAATACTATTTAAATGATTTGTTATTCTAATATCATTAATACTAGATTTAAAAATTCCATAAAGAGTAAAAATAAAACTGAAAAAACCAACAAAGTGAAAAATCTAGAGAAATACTAATTTAATTTTGGAATGTTAGGGGTTAATTTTGAGTTTTAAAAGAAGGTCTAAATTTTCTAAGTCACTAGATTTAGCAGAATTTCACTTTGCATTTACAATTTTTTCTTTTAAAAAGCAGTCTCTCACTACAATCAAACACAGTATCATGCAAAAAGTATGTATGTATGTACATATATTAGAATCAAAAACATGCAAATCAAGTTTAGATAAATTTTGCACAGAACATAAATTAATTATTAGTAACATTTACCTTCCTGATGTGTGGAAATAGTCTGGAACAAATAAAGCATTTTTCTAATATAGTGTTATCTATAAACAGCTTAACATTTTTGAAGTACCACAATGTAAAAAAAAAGCTCACATGTAACCTATTAGCACTGACATGAGGGTAATAAATTAAAAAATGTGTATCACATACATTTTCAAAATACATATATGAAAACGCAAGTTGACACTCATTAATAGGTTTGACAAAAAGAATCCTAGGAAAAAAAGTATTCAAGACTGTTTTTTTAAAACTCTCACCTGATTAAGATAATGATATTCCTCAGGTTGCTTAAGATGGAATGCTAATCTCTCTTCTTCACTTGCTCCTGCCAGGAGGTAATAGAATACATGATAATTCCTGTTGGAAATATTAAAATTATGGTATTAAAAGGGATGTAATTTGCCATTATCATTTAAAATAAAAGCACTGGGAAGTAAAACATATCTTCTTTTAATAACTTCTAATACACAAAAGATTTAAAATTAATTTTTATGCTATAAAGAAAGGTGAAAATTTTCTCTTCCATGAAAGCAATGAGGAAAATGGCAAAGTTATCAAAATCAACTCTTCCAAAACTGGGAATTAATCAAAGCTTCTAGTCATGCAAAGAACGTGTATTCAAGAAAAACAACTAAATCTTAGTAAAAATGACAACTTCTGTGGGATTTTAATTTGCACTATCTGCTTCTCCAGGAACTAGCATTGTGGCCTAGTCCTTAGGGAGGGGCACTACTACCCCAGAGTCTGTCTAATCTCCTGGCAATTCTATTCACCAGCAGTTCCTTGGGAGAAAAGATGGGTATTCTCCTCCTATGTAATTTGCAGCCTCTGAAAACCCACTGGAGGGTTAGCTGTGACTCAGTTACAACTTGATGGCAGTGAAAAATCAATCTGATTCTCCATTAGCCAGTATTATAAACCAATAGCCTGTAGTTACAATGAAAACTATATAGATATCAAAGGGGTAAAATGAGGTATCATTCTCAGAGATCTGTAATTACTTGAACTACCACCAGAAAATCGCCATTTGTAGTACTGTCTTGATTTGACATGACTCAGAGCTCCCTCACTGTGACAAAACCATTTCTCAGAGGGTTTGTTAAAAACAATTATAGGCAATTAGTGAATGTCATAGCTATCTGAAGCAGTGAGTTTGACATTGTTAGGCAAAACAATAAAATATTAAAAAAATTTTAAAAGGACAATCCAGGGGATGAGATCCCCACAGAGGTTTGGAAAAACTCCAGCACAGATTTTGGGTTAGATAGCAGAGTAGGCAGAAGGGATCCCATAACCCTCCTCAATCAAAACAACAAAAGAAATGGAGATAGCAATTCTGGAATCCTGAGTTGAAAAGCAAAAGAGAAAGAAGTACTTCAAATACTGACTAAAGGAAGAAAATGAATTTTCAGAATTAAATAAAAAGGCTCATGGACCCCAGAACTGCAGAAAATACTGTGTGGCCATTCTAAACAATGGTCTAGTCAACCTGTGAACATCCATTATCAGCAGCTGTCTGACAACAAGAAAGGTGCAATCACCCCTCTTATTCTACACTCCCTCCTAGAGACCAGTGGCATCACTTTCTACCACCACCCACCAGGTGCCTGGCAGTGTTAATATTTCCTTAGTCTGATCCAGCTCCATCTGAGAACAGGCCCAGTCCTTCTGATGTGGTCCAAGAGAATGAGCAGGGCTCTACACTCAAGAGACCCCTTTCAGGAGCTAGCAGATTGTGCCAGGCCTGCTCTGCAACCAGCAGTAATGAGTACGTCACTTCTGACTGGGGCCCTTTGCCTCTCAGTAGGCAACCATCACAGTCACATTTGATAAGTACACTCTTCATGCTGTGTTCCATTCTTGGGTATCAAAGATATCCAGGTGACTTTCTCTTTGCTACCTCTGCCTGGGTGCTCTGCTTGCATCCAAACCCTAGACTGGAAAGGTCAACATCCCTAGACAGGCAATTAAATTTCTGAGCAGAAATGTCATTCCAGGCTGTGTACCCCTGTCACTCAACATTCAATAAAAAATCTTCTAGTAGTCTTAGAAAAGTTAGTTTGCTCATTATAGAAAATAGCAAAGTGACATGAAGTTATACATGATATAAAGAAAGCATCATAATACGCAAAGAGACTAAAAGTCAATCTTTACAACACAAATACAAAGAAACATATGTTACCGTTCATTGTGCTCTTGATAAACAAGTCTGGACTTCTCCAGTAGATATTTTTCAACATAGGCGCTAGAAGAAAAATACATAAAATGGTTGATATAAGAAGAAACTCTAAAAACACAAGAGAAGATACATACATAAGCACAAAGATTACTATTATCCAGACTGAGCACATTTACCATAAACTGTGTTTTATATACTATTATGATAGGGTAAATTTATAACTTAAGTTCCTAAAAATCTCTATCTGGATTCTAAGAAGGTAAATCATAAAGGTAGCAGATTGCCTTATGTTTCTCCTGCAGGACAGCAGGTAAATTTAAACCACAGACATCAATTAGCTCATAATATGTACAAGTAATAAAATCAATCTTACGTGGGCCTTCAGAGGTAAAAGCCATAGCCATTTCCACCAACCACACCAACATCACTACAGAAACCGGATAGAACTGTCAGGAACTAGCACACACTTTTTAAATTGACAGCCATGTTTAGAAACATATTTGCCGTCATTTGCAGCAATGTGTTAACATGTTAAATTCTCAACTCATACTGTATGATAAATATTACTGCCTCCATTTCTGCAAGTATACAAACCAAAGCTCAAAAAAAGTGAGATAATGAAGTCAATGAATAGCAGAATTATTATTTAAACCTACTTCAACGGAGGACCTCATGCACTTACTGCAGAGGGTCAAGGACTGCAGCCTTCAGTATGGACTGAGGCTCAATGTCAAGAAGACAAAAATTCTCACCACTGGACC